GGGGTGCGTCATTGGAGGGGACCCCCTCTCAGCCGATTATGGGCCTTAGAATCACGTAAAATTTTAGACATATGCTATACGTATACGTGCTTGACCCTGACCTTGATGCTCTACCTGCGGGGCTTGGACGTCTGCACTCGAACTTGATTGAAATGTAGCTACCTGGGAAGCCTGGAAGTTGGCGTGATCGCCGGTCGGGGTGACAAATGTAGGTATCCTCAAACACCTAGAAAGATGCTGCCTTATACTTAACTAATCTTCCCGCCTCGACGGTTGCGACACCGAGCCGCATGAGCATGACCTACGTTCGCGGCTGAGAGCAGTCTTAATGCAAAGCTGACGCCGGTTGTCGGATGTAACAACCGCGCGGTCCAACCCTCGGCAGTTCAAAATGACTCATTTTTGGCACGACATCCTGAATGCTATATATATTCGCGTCGAAGAAGGACACCGGCCAGCTAAAGTAGAGTGTATCGTGAGGTCCGCGCACGTTCCACCCTCGGACGGACCTTCACTTGGGGTCACACAGTCTCATAGCTACCCTAAACAGGAAAAATTATAAATTAATGTGTTAACTTCGCTCGACAATAGATTACCACGAATCAGACCCGCTTGGGGTTCTCGATATATAGGGTCTAAATACAAGTCATAGCCTACGCAATATTAGGTATAATAAATATACGCGAGTGAAGAGATAGGAAACTGAAATAAATATTTCTCCCTCGCGATTCTTTGTTCCCTACTATGTACTTTTCGCCCTCCCTAGTGTATCCTTTCTTTTCCATTTTTCCTTTACCACTTTTCTTCACTTTTTTTTTCTCCCCCGGTCTAGTTTTCCAATCAGCGTACTTTGAGGCTCAGTACAATATAAACCGTAGAGACTGCCTCCATAGGGACAGAGCTCGCCATAACTTAGGCCCATATATAGAGTATTTCACCTTCAAAAACCTTTGACTTCGTCCAGTTATGCCACTCTCGACGATGATGTCGAAGCAGAGTAGTAGTTGCGTGATGGAGGAGACGAACACACCTTTCTGTGCCATCGCCGACCGTTTCTTCTGCGAGTGTGTACGGAATGGCCTATACCAGACTATGGCAGCCTATATCCATCCCCGACACGCAATCGTGAGGCTGTACTACCAGGGGTACATTATAGGGCAATTGCTCACATGCCAGATGGTGAAGATAACCAAGGCACGCTTTTTGGAAGAACAGAAGCTAGTGCTGCTTGAGTACGAGACCGTGCGATTCGCCTTTCCGCGTCGTACGTACACTATCAAGTGTCTTTTCGATTCCAAAGGCCATATTATCCGCATTAATCCTACGAAATCTTGAATCATATATTGTTCACAAGAGCGGAAGCCTGTTCGTTTGCGCTATGCTGGGTGATCTTCGCAGAGCTTCATCTGTGCGTGCAATGGGCGCAGGCACAGCTGTTGAACATCATCAACAACAACATCACTTGACTCGTGGGCGCACTTTCCACACAACAGCGCGTCTGACCTACGCTCGGACACCCGGAAAATTTGCCGGCTACCCTCAGTCTTTAGTCCCTTCAATCGACAACGATATTATATAGTTAGTGCTGTGTGTTTAAAGTCCTGACAGTCTGAAGAGCCTGTGGCAAGCTTCTGCTTTCCAATCCACCACAGCGTCAAATCAAACTCCGGTGACCCCACGTGCAAAGCTCTCCGCGACGACAAACGCTTTTCCTTACCTATTTTCCTCATAATCGGCCTGCGAACGGCCGACTTGAAAAAAGAGCGGTCAAGAGCTTAAGCTACCCGTCCGCTTGCTGACGGTTACGACCACACCCTCTTGTCGCACCATCCAGCCGCCGCGAACTTTCCATTTCAGGTCGGGCCGGGCCAACGAGAACTGGTCGGAGGAGGTGAAGTAGACCGAGTCAGCGGGCGGCACGGTCATGGAGAAGTGACGTCGCGCGCGAGGACAATGGGGACCATTTCTTCAGGGTCGCGGGGGCCGACTTACCTCGTAACGGCGCAGCAACTGCGGCACCAATTTCGAAATTTCCAATAGAGCAATGTTCTTCCCCAAGCAGCCGCGCTTTCCATGTCCAAACTGGAGAGGGGACGCCCCGTAGCGAGTCAGTTACCCCAGTCTAAGCATGTAGGCTAGGAGGAATTGAGGGACTTTCACGAACCGCCAAGTTAGCTCTTTCCATCGCCGTCAGCTGTTCCTCTGGCGCTTCCAGCCATCGCTCCGGTCGAAATTGGTCGCAGTCTTCACCGTATACTCTTCTATCTCGGCTGGATGATCGGCGTCAGTCACTTCCGCCACGAACGCGGGAAAAAGGGGAGGCGGTGGGGGTAAGTGGCAAGTGGGGAGTGGGAAGTGGGAAGTGGGAAGTGGGAGGAAGGGGGGGGGGTCGACGGGGGACGAAAGGAAATGAACGGGGAAGGCTAACGCGGTGACCCATGCGTTGATGCCGACAATCGTGCCCTCCGGGAAATAGTGGTTGCCCATCATAATGCCACCTTTGGGAACGTAACGTTCGAGGATTAGGCCGATAGGGGGATGCATACCTATCCAGCCACACCAAATCGTCA